CCCTGGTCTTAACAGTAGCCCAAATATAAACCTAAGCCGCCTCCCTAATTTTGATCCTAACCCAAACTCTAAACATAATCCCAAACTTAACCATGGCTCAAATTTCGCACGAATTTGGTACACAACCACTTGGTTCCGTTCGCATGTCCTGGTTAGGGGGCTATATAGGTCATCCTTACCCAACTCAGTTCTACCGAGGAGTAAACGACAATGGCGGCCTCTGATTGCATTTTACCGGAATCGTCTCTTGACGCGTAGGTTGTTTTTGCTCCAGGACAAGGAGAGTTCGATCCTTGATTTTATTAAAAACTCGCTTCTTATCTTTGCTATATTTGATGATTGTGTCAGGGAACTTGTTAGAAAGGACTGTGTCTTAAGAAACAAGAATTCGGAAAAACGGCACAATCAGGAATTTTACACGACCAAAATTAAGAAGGACGCAAAGTGAATCAGCCACCGGTCTGAGAAGGACGATGATCTTAAAGTGATTACGGACTTCTGTGTAAACGAGGGGTACACAGTTGTCTGTAAGAAAAGGCATCTATACTTCCCAGATGAATATATAACGGACCATCAGAGGTCATCTAGCTTCCTTATAAGTTCCCCATTTTTTCCTAAAGTTGATATTGTACGGGCGTAAACTCATGCAAAATGCTTCAATTTGTGTCCTCCTTTAACACAGCCCAAAAAAATAAAGATTTGGTTCTGTCATGGTAAATAGCATAGAACATGGTTTTGATATCAGGCAAACTTTGTGTGACATTCACCACGTCAATGTCATCCTCGGATTTAATTTGCTCTGAACTGCGTGCCCAGGTCCCCTTCCTCCAAGAACTGAACTGTATACCCGAGTCCCCTTCCTCCAGGAATTATGTTACTGTTGACTCCATTGTTCCAGTTGACTGCACACTGGCCAAGCACCACTTAAGCGCTCGCTTGAATACTGTCCCCACCCCCGTTAAGCTCTCTCGGCCTTCTACAGGAAAGTGGACGAAACACAACA